AAGTGGGTTCTTACACCATCTATCTTCCTATGCATACGTTTAACCTGAATCCTGCCTTGTCTAGGGGGAATTTCTGTTGGTGTTGTTGATGGTGCTATTAATAAAAATAGTGTCCCTTTCACATTCATCTATTCAAATTGCTCCTTTTCACCCCTTTTGCAGATAGATATATGGCTGTATTCATTAAGAAAGCATATCTGATAGTGTTATTTCTGGATATGGTGTTTAATTAGAAAAAAATATGCTCTGTTTAAAGATCTGTAATTACAGAGCTTAACATATGTTATGTCACATCAAAACCATTGTCTGATTTATGAGTGGTTCAGAACGAGCGCTCAGTAAAGCTGCAGGAGCACGTTATTGGCTTGATTTATGTGATTGCTTTGCCTTTCCTGAGTCCTGCAGCGAGGGATCTAGATATGCTCCTCCCGGCTTTTGTGATACCAAAACTTAGTGTAGTTAAGATTTGAGTAGTACCTGAGAGTACATAGTGTCTATCCAGACCCAGACTAACTCGGGTGCAAGCAAGGCATGGGCTGGGAGCACAGCACTGGGAGTTTCAACTGGTGGTTGCCTTATTTTGCTCTGCTCAGGGATTAATGTCAGGGACTTAATGCATTTATCTGTGGGTTAAATGTGATGTCCGTGTTCCAGTAGGGCTGCTTCTCTGTGGGAAGAGCAGCAAGCTGTTTGCTGGCTGTCCAAATTTGGAAGCAGAGAGCTGATCCACGGAGGGATTTAGAAGATGTCCAGGAAAGTTACAGCTCGCCTGGATGAGCCGAGATCTGTCCTTTACCGACAGGTGGCAGCTTGTAGTTAGGGAAGAGCATCTCTTGGGGACTTAGCCCTGCCATTGCTTTGATTTGACAGCAGTGCAGATAGCATAGGCCTTTCATTTGACATTATGTGCACAGGCCATAGTAGCTTTATTGAGGTAAGAATTTGTAAGCATTAAGATACCTATATAAATTGAAAAAGAACAGAAAGTGTAGAAGTATGATGAAGTTGCACAGCAAAGGATTTGTTTTGTTGTTTTTTTTTTGCAGTACCGCTTATGGCATATTGTGGGATCTCCACTGAATGTGCAAGGAACTTTATTTTAAAGCAATTCTTGGAGTTTAATTCAAAGTATATGAACAGAGTAAGGTTAACCCCTTGCCAGGTCACTAAAATACTCAAATGGAGCAAGTAGTGTAAAAAATGCTTCCTTCTTGCATGCATACAAGTGCATTGATGTTTATGTTGTTCTTTGATAAACTATTTATATGATGCACTTGCCTCCATCCACTGTTGTTAGACCTGTTCTCCGATTTCCAATAACATGGGATTGCTTTGTATCTCAAAACAAAAAGAAGAGCTTCATTTCTGCTGTAAAAGTTGAAACTTCTTGATCTTAAATTTCTCTCTAAGCACATTGCATGCAAGTTGTTTGCTCAGATGTATGGAATGTGAATGAAAATTGATGTATCACCATGTCTTTTTTTTTTTTTTCACACCTTCCTTTCTCTCACGCCTTATTCTTTTCCTCTAAGCACTTTTATATCTGATGGCTTTTTTCAGTTCAGTGTGTTTCATGACTCTGACTTGTCAGCTCAGAGCACTTCTGCCAGGAGGACTACGTTGGCTTCTTTGCACTTGCTGCATTGTCTAACCACAAGTCCATTCACACTTTTTGAGAATGATCTGACATCTTTTTTCATAAAAATTGGACTTGAAATAGCCTGGGGAGGAACGTTTAGAGCAAAACTCTTGTGGTGTTGGATACTGACTTCTAGGCTGCCTTGCAAAAGTTATAAATATATCCTTTTAGGGTATAAACCGTGTTTAGCTATGACGAAGCCAGAGATGTATTTAGAAGCTTGAGGTAGGTTTTGAGCTACCTTAGTTGGGATGGTGACGTGTAGTGTCCTGGAACATGTATTTATCATAGGCTTTAGCATGATACTTGCCAAGATCTTTTGCCACAGGAGAGTTGGATTTAAGGTCCACCTAAGTGAGGGCAGGGTGATAGTTCAGGAATTAGCTTGAAGAGAGTTCATGTAAATATATGCATGTTACTTTCATCAGACTTCATTCTAGGCTCTCTTTAAGTTACACTTATCACAGGTACTCTGGCGAGCCTACATCATCCAATTTGGCAAAACCAGCTCTGATGTCTCCAATGTGATGGGAAAGGGCTCTGGCACAACAATGTGGGTATCGATACTCATACTGATAATCCACGTTGATGTGGCTTTTGTTCTGCAAGCCTGTGGCATCATTCTGTAGTTGGAGTCCATGTGCCTTCCTTCTCTGAAAAACAAAGAGAAACATTAATTGCAACAAACATCTTACAAGGAAAAAGCTTTCCTGGTAAGTGGCAATGAAATGATCTCTTCCAGAGCTCTTGTGGAGCATGCACACCACAAGTGCAGGGACGCAGTTGAGAACCCTGGGTAGTTGCCTTGGCTGCTCTTTTTATGAATTTCACTAAAAATATGCACCTCTGTAACTCAGAAGTGAATATAGGTGTGTACCCGTATTGCTGCATAGATAAATTCACAGTCATATTTGATGCAAAGGCTCTCTCTTGGACTGGTATTTTAGTGATTTTTCTCGCTCTGGGAGAACAGGAAATAGTCTTAGATTGTAAAGATGGAGCTGAAAATTGAGGTTACAGTATAATATGCAAGACCTTCCCCCCCCCTTGTTTGCTTTAGACCAGGCTAAGTATTTCATAGCAAAAGTAATTTTTTTGGTGCAGTTTGTGAAATAAATAATAAAGATCCTGTTAAAAATGCATTGGCTGGCTTCCTTATTTTAATATTAATAAGGCAGGTTGTGACAATAAAATTAGCTCTGCATGGTGTTTGTCACTTACTGCCGAAGCAATCGAATCTAATGCCATTCCTTCCTGAAATGAATCCCCAGGAGAGCAGTATTTGTGCCATTCTTAAACTTCTAACCAGGGAACTTGGGAGTTGAACTGTAAATCAGGGAAAATACAGATTTTAGTCTGGAAATTCCAAGTCTATGGCTTGGAAATTGTGGCTTTCTGGCTGCTTACGTGAAATGTTTTAATGTTATTTACACATGAGTTTTCTCTGCAGTAGTGACTAATATCCAGTTGCTTGGCTCATCATGTTTATGGGCAACTTGGTAATCATATCTGTATGGTTTCATAGTCCATAAACCATGGTTTATGGTTGATGCCCCCTGGTGGGGGCAAGAACCATGAAGGTACTTAGCTGGAACTGCAGCACCCTAGGACACAGTGCCTTTTGATTTAGGGGCACTGGGCTGAAGGCGTCTGTGCAAAAAGAGTGATACTGCAGTTGGCACAAAAGAGATGCTGTCTTTTTTTAAAAAACAAGATGAATGTGTGCCTTTAAAAGGAAAAGCCCTTTACCAGCCCCCTGCCCCTGTGATTTATAGTGTTCATTTATCTGAGCCACAGAGCAAAGGGAAAAAACCTGTAATCTTGATACATTCTGTTTTGTGACCAGAACAGCACTTTTGTGCTTATAAACAATATGAACACTCATTGTACTAGAGGCCCTGTCAGCTGAGGTGGTATTTATTGTTAAAACAAGCATTAGGGGGTTATTTGATCATGATTATAGATGTGCTTCTGCTGAAATGTGCATTTAAGACAAGGTTAAATTATCTTCATTCTACAGTTTGCATTTTTAATTTAAGGATCTAAATACGAATTACATTCAAGCTTTGCCTGCCAACTGAATCTTCCTAAGATTTTATTGACCACGGAAGTCTGTGAAGCAGAGGAGCACATATGTTTAAATACCATCAAGGTCTATGGATCCAAATATCTGCTTAAGTGTTTTCTTGAAAACAGTGATGTTTCACATAAGCTTTTTAAATTTCTGCTTTAAAGAAATGTCTTGAGAGTCCAACAACTGGGAGACGCTTTCTTAGCTGGTGAGAACCCATTCTGAATAACCAGGCCTCTGCAGTTCTGTGTTTGTTTCTTATGATATACTGTAGTAAAAAAAAATTGGAATTATGGAGTGTGTTTATTGTATGTACATTCTATAGATTGGATGAATTTGACAGCTCAGCCTTACTTAAGTGCTGTTACTGGCATCAGAAGTAAAATAACCCATGTCTTTCTTTCTAATTTGCAATCATCAGGAGTCTTAGCTGAAAACAGAGAGGGAGATCTGTTTGTAAATGTGAATGATCTCTTTGTGCAAGAGGCTGGAGGAGGTTCAATTCCCCCCGTGTTCCTTGGAAAAGAGAAACAACAAAAGTATCTTGCTTGCTTTATACCATTGGCAAAGCAGAAATCTTATCTGGAAGATGAAGGCGTTTTTTTATTGTTTTTTTTTTTTTGCCATGCAGCAGAAGGAAGGTGGGACAAGATGAACAAAAGGAAACTCTTGGTTTCTCCCTCCTTCCTTCCAAAGTATTCTAGAGAGAGGCTAAACAAAGCAAGATAGGTGTTGGAACTGCAGCTGGCAGTGCCTCTGTGGACTCTTGGCTAATGTCAGCTGGATGATTGTTTCTTTTCCTCTATCCTGCAAGAAGGGAAATGCTGGATGGAGAAAAGAAAATAGCTGGATAAGCACAGGCTCGTGGTTTTGTCCCTGTACTTATTTACAAAATAGGATCTTGGAAAGGCAATGGAGGAGCAAGATCTGTTTTGTATGTTTTTTGACTTATTAGAATCCAGGAAAAATGTGGTTTTTCTGCATTGGGGTAAAGGACATGCTTTCTGTCTCAGGAACGCTGTGTCTTCCTGGGTATGGAAAATGAAAGATGGGAGAAGAGACAGCTCACCACGTCATAGCTGAGCAGCTGATATTTATTCCAGACTTCAGTACTTGTTTAGGCTATTCCCAGTCCTGTATTCTAAATGATTACAATTTCTCTTTACTGCTGGAAATGACTTCGGTTTTGGGTTATTTTTTTCCTCTTTGGCCTATTTGCCTTTTATGCTCTTCACTACTGAATAATTTGAAAGTGTTGATGCCAACTTTGGTATTCTCTTCTGCTTTTAGTGTGAAGATGATCTGTCTAACAGCTTGAAGGGTACAACTGAAAAAGCACCTGAACCTGGGCTAGAAGGTGGAGTAGATGTTCGATACCTTCAGTGGTTAAATGGGAGGCTGAGGTTCCAGTGGCGAAGTTTGCATGCTCAGCACCAAGAGCAATGCAAACTTTTGCACAAGGTAAATAATCCTTCTAACTCACTATGGTATTGTTTATTACAACTTACTCAGAAATGTAGGATCAAAATACTGAGCATGGTGTTGAAAGTAATAACAGCAAGGTAAAATGCATTTTCCTTTTCTGAAATACTAGGCAACATCTGAGCAGAATCCAGAATCTGCCTGCTTTTAAATCAGGAATCAATAGGGGTCTCTACATCTAAGACTCCGGTTCTGTTCCTCTTTATGAATTATGTTTATATGCCTGTGTGAAAATCATTAACATCTATGAGCATTATGTCTGCTTAGGGTGGAAACAGCTTGCAGTCCCAAGGTTGACAGTGATGGTCACTGCAGAGACAAACGTGAAAGAAATGATTCTAAAGATAGTACTAAAAGTTATCAGTAATGTTTTCCCAAAGCCCCCTTTCTCCATTCGTAGGTCTTCAGGTAATTTATGAAGCCACTTGGTATTGTACCCAGAACCTTCACAGAAAACCTTTCTGATACTCAGAATAGTTTTGAGAATTTTTTTTTCAAAGAAAAACATTTATCAGAAGGTCATCAGGAACAGAAAAGGATGGTTTTGAATGAAGTTACGTTCTTGGTTTTAATCCTGTGTCTGACAGAGCAATGCTGAAAACTATAATGAGGTTATATTTTGTTCTTTACCATGAGTTGATTGCTAGGGAAGATGTCTGATTGACAGCCCTAGGCAAAGATCAGGTGCTGTGTGTGCAGCATCTAAAATAGCCTTTTGCTTCTCATTGCCCGCTGCAGTTGTGATTTCCTGATCTGGGAATGAAGATAGCAATTCACCTTAAGTGCAGCTGCAGTCTTTGGCTTTGGCACTGAGATACAGTGATGCTATTGAAAGAGGTGTCTCGGTGCTATAAAACTCAAATGAAATGATTGGCATCTTCTCCCCTCGGTAACTACCTTTATTTAAGGTATGATGATTTTTATAGTAAGTGAGGCAAATAGCTCTATAACTCATCATCAGTGCTCTGATTTATGTAGTACTTGGCAGTATCAAATCATTAGGCAGCTTCAATACCTCACCGTGCAGTTAATGAGATCAAGGAAGAATTAAGAGCAGGTTGAACCTAGGAGCACAAGTACAAACAGGGATCCTCTCAATGGTCCAGATCAGGTACTGAAATGATGAAGAAATGTGCTTATTTGGTGCAACTCTTGTTGACAGTGGAGATGATGTCCTCCTATAGGGCTTGTATTTCGAATGAACTTGGACTTTCTTTTCCCCTGTGGCTATCCAACGAAAAATGTTTGCCCAAGTGAGGAGTGTTACAGTCAGACAAAGATGAGAGATGGGTTAGCTATGCTGCAGTTCCTTGGACCACATTTTCCAGAATCTGGAAGAATAAGTAGGAGGGGCAGTGTTTCTCTGTTCATCCAGTTTCCCAAAGCTACTGTTTTCTCCAAAAGTCATCACTGGACTAAATTGAAAGCAATAAGCGGTGTTGGTCGTGATTCGTATGATCAGACCTTGTTCTGCAGTGTATGTAGAGGGCTGCCATCACAGATCTATACATAGGAGGATAGATTGGAGTCCAGCTCCTCCATATGTGATTACATGCTGATATTATGCATGCTCAGATATGTATGTGCAACTGTGGGAGTTCTGTTCAGAGCTGTAATAAAGTGCAGTGCTCTGCTTTATATTTTAGTCTGAATTAAAAGCAGGAAAATTGAAACGTAAGTGGCTTTAGAAGGACTTCATTATAGTGCCACATTAATGTTAACATTTGTGGTAACAAAATAGAACAGACAGTTTAACAGCTGCATAAACAATAATTGATATTTCATGACTCTTTGTAGGGAAATTGCCTGTGCTACTGTATTGATTTGAAGACTTTTAAACTAGTCTGTTAGAAGACTAGCTGCCCTAATATGACCTCTGTATGAACTGCTGCTTTTCTCATATAAACCACAAACAGTATGCAAAAGGCTAAGAGGTGTTACATTTTTTAATTATGCTGACACATTTAAAGAGGGTTTTGTCTACAAAATTGTAATTATGGCTTTTATTCATTCTGTTTAATAACTTAACAGGTTATCTCTCTCAGCTGTGGAACAGCCTTATTTACTGCTGATCACGAGCTATAGTTTTTGCCAAGTAGTGGCGACACTTCCACAGATTTCATTCTGTGACTCACGGAGGCTCTAAAATACCATATTCTGTATTTGGGGCTTTCTGAGAAAAACACATCACACTTGGAAGATCAGGAGATGACTGGTTTCCCGCTCTTACTGGAAGTAAGAATTGTACATAGGATCCAGCAAGAGACTACCAAGATAGTCAAGGACTAGCTAAGTTGAACATGACCTCCCAGGAGAGGTTGAGGAGTTGGGTTTGCTTGCTGTGGTGTAGAGGAAGAGGTCACCTAATAGCTGCCTTCAGCCACTTGATGGGACGTTACAAGGATGGTAGTTACCACATTGGATCTACCATTTTTGCAGCAGTACCAGAAGCTGACGGGGAAGGGGCCTTTTGATTATAGCTTGGCAGGTTCAGGCATATTAGAAAAAACTCCTCTGGAATGATGGGCAGCACTGGAGCTGGTCACCAGAGATACTGAATAGTCTCCATCCTTGGAGGTTTCCAAGACTTTGATACAGAAAGTCACAAACTGATGTTGGTGCTAATCGCTGTTGGAGCAGGAGGTAGGACTAAAGATCTCAAAAGGTCTTTCCTGTTTCTGTGATTTTGTGAGAAAATTCTGAATTACTTGGGTGATCAGGGACATGTACTTTCAGGTTAGAAGGGATGACTCATGGCTTAATGAAATAGCACCGTACCGCCTGAAGAAAGGGTAAGGAAGCAGTAGGAGGGAAATATGGGGGAAACAGGCAAAAATAAATGGTTCTTCTTTAAAGTACACAGATGATAATTGAAAGTGATTGCTGGGGCTTCTATCTACTCTGTCCTGCATGCAGGCACTTAAATTTGATGGTATGAAGTTCTGCAGTAATTGGTGAAGAGGGAAGCCTCCCTGGAGGCCATGTGGTGGAAATTGCTTGTTAGGTGGTCTGACTGGCTGTTCCTCTTTGCTAGTTCTTCTGATTAGCTTCTTTTCAGTGACTTCAGCTCCCAGAAGGCATGTTGAAGCTTACAGACATGTACACATGTCCTATTATAGGAGGAAGAGTTCCTCAGGGAAATCTTAACCTGAGGAATTCTGCAGCCTGAGACTATGAGCTGTTGAATAACATAACGGCTTCTCACCATGAACAGTTTGGCCTGCTTTGAAAATATAGTACAGTAATACCATTATAATTACCTCAAAATTCTCAGTAGTATGTATTTACCTGATATACCTTCAGATATATGGAAGCATGAAGGATAAATTACCATGTTAAGGCGTGCTTCTTGGTTCCTTCTATTCTGTTTCTTCTTCTTTCTGTCAAATGCCAGAGGAATATCTGTCTGCCTGGTTTTTGATCCTTCTTGAATTCATAGAGGAGAGCAGCTGTTTTTAGTTAGGCTTTGAATTGCCATTTTGCCTTAAAAAATGTGAATGAGAAGCCTTGCATAGTTTCAGTAAAAAAAAGGGTAGGAACCTGTATAGTTTAAAACAGGCATTGTTTTGGGGTCTGTTAAATGCACTGTGCCACAATGACCATGTGAAAAAACAGCAGGACAAGCGAGTTTCTGCAAAACTGGTGGATTTTCCTGGGGGTATTTTCAGCTACACTTCATCCACTAAAAGACTAGGACGCAAACTACATCGGAAATAGGGGAGGGTTAGGTTGGGTGAATTTTGTTAAGCAGGTGAGCATCTGATTGTAGAACATGTGTGTCAGTTAATAGGAATAAAATGATATTACATGGAATTCTTGATGACTGCCCAAGGAGGTTGTGAATGCTCCATCTCTGGCAGTGTTCAAGGCCAGGCTGTACAGCCTTGAGGTTGAGTGATATGGTCTAGTGGAAGGTGTCCCTGCCCATGGCAGAAGGTTTGGAACTTGATGATCTTAAGGTCCTTTCCAATCCAAATCATTCTATGGTTCTGTGTTAGAAGGAGAGTTTAGCATATTTGGTGTTACCAGATCATGGTAGAATAAAAATAATGGTTGTAATATTCTTGGAAACTGTAAGAGCAAGAGTTTTATTCTGTCAGAATGCACTGGGAAATACCTCCTATGAATGGAGTGGTTTCTTGTGCCTCCTCTAAGATAAGCAATATAAAATAACACATATTACAGTGGATTAGATTGTTAGTATTTGTATATCTGATGTTGGAGTAAAAGAGTAAAGTCACAAGGACAGTCTTGATCTCTGAATAACAGAGGGGGCAGAGACTGTTGCTGGGTGATTACCTCATTGTCAGTAATTTATGAGTGATCTAAACTGCAGTTATTAAATTCATCAGTCTTTTGGAATGAAGAATCTACCATGTTACTGTAAATTACTACCTTGGTTTATTACATCATTTTTGGTTTATTATAGCATTTTTATCTTGTGATATTTGGTTTGAAAATCTTTCTTTTTTTCCCGAAAGTGAATTTGCCATTAGATCTCAGTAGCACATTCTTTAATCCAGTATAAGCTTTTTGTCTTATGGAAGTGTATGTGAACTGTGAACAAGCCCACTTTTCATCTCCTCTTAGGTGAACTAGGCAAGCTGATATCCCTGCAGGGTGTCTAAGCTCAAGGGCGTTTAGGAATTGGTACTGGAAACTCCCCAGAAGCGATGCTCAGTGGGGGGCTGTGCTTGTACTCTCATGCAGTGTTTTAGTGTATGGTTCAATCAAACCTGCCTCTGTGTCCACCCCAGTGCCACGAAGCAAAAGCTCTGTCTTGCTCTCTAACCTGCTTCTTGTACCTTGGTACTGTTTTCCTCTTCAAGCCTTATTTTATCTTCAGTGTATTGTGATTATCGGTAACAGATTGTGAAAAATACAAATACTGGATTATTCTAGTACCCATCAAGTCAGGTCTCAGGGAAACACATTATTCCTCAGTCATTCTAGCTTCTGAGTATTTGTTCTGGGCTTTAGCCATTGATGCTGCTGCAAGAGACTTGAAGAGGGGCAGAAGTTAATTCCTGGTGCTGGAGGCCCAAAGGTTTGGCAGCCAGAGTTATGCAAGAATGCAGCAGGGAAAGGGAGGAGTGGCGAGTAGAAAGGAAGAACATTGTGTGGGGAGGTGCTCTTTTATTTTTAAACTCACATAGCTCTGCACATGTGACAGATGGTTGTCACCAGGAGTGAGTTTTGGGAAAGGAGCACTAAAATATTCTGAAGTTTCAGGGAAGGGTTGATAATTAACCAGTGCCTGTCAACTTTAAAATAGTTGTCAACACCCAAGTGTATGATAAAGTTCGTATTAGAATAAAGGAAGAAAAGCAGGAAACATTCTCTGTCTTCTGGCAGAAATATTAATGAAATATGAGCGATTGTCTGACAAATGTGCGCTGCTATCTTGTTTGGCAGGTGCAGTTATTACAGTAACAAAGGGATCAGCTCTGAATAGGAGGAATTGCTTTTTATTGTTCCCTTGACTAACTTGGGAAGCTTCTTCACCAAATAATTGATGATCCCATCACCAGCCACCAGGGACAAGGTCCCAGTAAGCAAAAGACAGCAATATATAGCAGCAAAAGAAACTTAATGTAACTTGGTAGCATTTTCTGCTTTAAAGGAAGAAATAAAAAATTACTCTGAGGATATCTTTCACCTCTGATAAGTCTTCTGCTGTGTCAAATTGTTTCTACTTTCAATGCTGTGCACAAGAGTGTGTGTAGTGTAAGGAAAAAGACTTCAAGACACAGGACAAAAAGAGAAATCTTTCTGGTTTAATGTGGTAGCAGCCGTAGCAATTCCAGCATGTGGTTCTGGTAACAATACCAGATGGACCATTTTGTGAGATGATCGTGGTACGTGGTCATCATTTCCTGCAGGCTGTTTTAAAAAAAGTCTGTGGTGTTGGTGGTAGTAGTTACATTTGTACCTGTCCATTGGGAATGGGCTTGTATCCACTGGTTCACATCACTGTTCCAATCCATGCAGCTGCTAGATCTTAACTAATGATGTTAATGAGCTGCTCCTTGTACTGACAAATATCTTTTAAATTTATTCTAGATCCATTTATTCACTAGTGGCTCCCATATGGACGAGATCCTTGGACATTTTTCTGTCACAGAAACAGATCTTGTTAGACAACCGGAGAACTACAAGCAGGTAATTCCTCTGCTGTAATTCTTGGATGCTTTGTATGCTTTTCATAAATATTGTTAAACAGAAGACTGCACTCCTTGTAGCATGTTTTTAATTTGGTTTCCAACAGAAATAAGGGCTTATTTATAGGGAATTGTCAGTTTCCTGAATTACAACTTGTATTCACAAAATGGTTTCTTCCAGTTTGATACAAAACATTGCTTAATAACTTTGTTTTCTAAAACCTGGTAGATGGGAAGTGGGAAGAGACCTGACTGAAAGTGCCACTTAAGGCTTGTAGACTAAACCATTTTAGATCAGTTGGCTGGCTGCTATTGTATACTACCAGTGACTACACTTGGGCCAGCCAGCCAGAGTGTCTTGCCTGTGGCCTTGCATGAGCAGCTTGTCAGTGAGGACATGGAGAGACGTGATTTATCTCTCCAGGAAGAGACAAAACATATCTGTGCTAGCATTCATTAGTTCTGGAAATTATACAAGTTGACTACGTTTTTGGTAGTAAGAAGCTTTATTTTGAAAAATACTTTAGAAGCACAGAACGGTTGAGGTTGGAAGGGACCTCTTGAGTTTATCTGCTCCAATGCCTCTGTTCCAGCAGAGTGACCTAGAGCAGGCTACCCATGACCATGTTCAGATGGCTTTTGACTATCTCCAAGGATGGAGACTTCACAGCTGCTCTGGATGACCTGCTCCATACTCAGTCATTCTCACAGTAACAAAGTGTTTCCTTACATATTGAGCCAGAACCTTCTAGGGCAACATAATTTTTCCTCTTACTGTTCCATGTATGTATGTCTGCTACTCTCATATACTCAGTTATAGATGTTTCATTTTATAATTTGAAGTAGAACAATTCGTTTGTTTTAATATAACATAATACATTTGTTTTACAAATCTGTTTGTAAAAGTTTTAGTCTGTGTGAAACTGAAATAAGATTGAAATTTTAAGCTCAGCCTCTACAAAACCAATAGTTGGCAAATTTCTGCAGCATATCCAAATCTGTTTACTCAAAGAAGATACTCTTTCTGCTGCTGCCTTAAGAACAGAAGTAGAGATTGTAAATACCACACACAAAGAAATTCAGAAAAGTAGATTTGAGAGAGGGAGATAGTCTTCTGTTCAAACCCCTGAAGTACAGTGCATGATTATCTTTCATTACTGAGCATTCCTTGGATGAGCAGTTCACATCCTGCCTCTTGGTAAGGTTCAACTCTTTAGAAGATTTTCCTGGAAAATTAGTGTTTTCTAGAGCAAATGGTTAAGTCAGCTTGAAATAGCTTTCTCATTTGTGCTTCACAGTCTCTCTCCTATGGTTTGCTCTGCAGCTCAGAACACGCAGCAGCAAAGTCCTTTGAAGCTTATACATTATAGTCTTCCAGAGCTTAGCAAATGTCCAGAAAGGTCTGGTGTGCTGGTACTAGAAACTTCCAGGCTGTGTAGGACTTTACAGCTACCTTCTTCCAAAGCCTTACCCTGAGCATGTCACTGATCTGTTCTAGTAAAGCATAATGATACTCTAATAAAGCCCATTTGGTTTTGACTGCACTATTGATGAATTATTCCAGGAGTTTTCTTTCTTGCATGATGCTCCCTGTCTGGATGTCTGCTTCAGGTGTGCTCTTCATTGGAGGCCCAGGATAAAATGGAAAGAATCTTTTTGTATTTTAAACGTTGTGTTTAGGTAAAGTGCTATAGTCATGAATGGGCAGCTGTGTTGCTTTGTTAAAATCTGTAGAGTCTTCATTCTACATTTCTTAGGCTTAAACAGCAAATACGTGATATAAGGGATGCCCCTTCAAGCAGGGGTGATCAATGAGAGAGACAGAGGTGGGGTGGCAGGAGATGTTTTCTTAAAACTGTGAGTGGCCACAATCTCCATCTCCAGTTCTGGGTTCTGACAGGTGCTAACCTAAATGGGCTTCTCCAGCTCCAGTGCATGTGTGTGGGAAACTCTTCTCATATGTCACTTACTGCTTGGAATGGTCCAGAATTGGAACTGTTTGTCAGCATAATCAGCTGTGAAATTCTTAGCTACTTGAAGCTCCTGAATCTATTAAAGAAAAGGGGTTCCTCTATGCTGCTCTCTTGTGCCTGATTCTAAAATAAGCAGGAAAAAAAGCAGGAAATCATCACAACACTTCTGTATGAATATTTTTGAGAGTCTTAAAATTCTTACTGTCATCATTTGAGCAATCTTTATAGTTTTTGCTTCCCCCTACCCTTATTTCCCAAAAGTAGCCTCCAGAAGTCATACGCTCAGTATGTATGACGAGCCTGCTATAACAAGGTAGTAGGGACTTGAAAAAACAAGGCTGTTTCAAGTGTCAGTTTTCCAGATGGATATCATACTCAATATGCAAAATTATATTTCTTTGGAAAAATGTAATAAAAAGCCTCTAATTTTGAAATATCTTGATAAGATAAAGTAAATTATATGTATTTGAATAGATTGGTTTTCAAATATTGGTGCAGATGGCACCACTCTGCCAAATGTTTTTTCCCAAAACTGTGAAGTAATTTTTTTTTTCCCTCTTAAGTAATGTGACATTTCTGTTAATGTTACCTCAAATAACAGCCTGCTGCATGGATCAATAAAAAGAGCAAGCACGTCAATATGTCTTACTGTTATGCATCCCTGTTGTTGGATGGTGCTATGAATTTCTTCTCATGTTAGGTATCCTTCAAAGGCTAGAAATGCAAAGTGGATTGAAGTGTCAAAAATTAGCTATCACAGAAAGGACATTTGGCTGATTCTGTTGAAGCCTAGGGTTCATTGTCATCAAGAATATCCTGGGAGATAAGTTGTTCTGACCTGTAATAAACCAAGAGATGTTTAGTCTGACAGGAAAAGTGTGATAGGATACAGATAGCTGTGAAGTTAAACTTCAGTTTATGAAATGGAATAAGACATGCTACTCCTTTTCTCTAAAAGTTGCACATTAACATGATTAAAACGTTCTTCCCTTGGATTTTTGATTTAAAACTCTTTTAGTGCTTTTATATACAGGGATTTTCCTGGACATTATTATTCTTTTATCATCATAAATGTCTTTGTCAGATTTATAGAGCTGGAAGCATTCCAAGTATAATAGTTTTAATTATATTTTTTCTCCAGTGAGGCATGATAAAAATTTCAACTTCTCCTGCAGTTTGGCTTGGCTGTGCTTATCTGTATGTGTTTGGCTGTGAATTGCAGGTCACTGCTGAGTTTAGTTCCTGTGCTGCCCAGGGGTGTCAGTGAATATGATGTGACATTATTCCAGCTGGCTTCAATTTCCAGTTGAAGTACATGTGCATGCCTGTGTTAGCTCTTGACCTCTGTGTGTATGTCCTTTCTTTCCCAGAATACTGTTGTGTCTTTTTGAGCAGCAAGTGACATCTGCCCGAAATTTTCCAGGGCAGTATGGTCTATCTCTGACATTCCTCTTGTGACTGTCGGACAGTGGTTGTGATGTACAACCAATTAGGTAGTTTTTTATCAACTGAGCACAATATAATCGCATTCTTGTCTATGAAGCCCATAGCAGTGTCACCAGAGCTGATGTTTTTACCTTGAGCTTGAAAAACTGCATGTTGCACTTAAGAGTCATTAATTAACTTTGTCATCAAATTGTTACCATATAGAGATCAATGAACTTTGAAGCAAAACAGCCTACTCCTTTGTTTTCTTCTGCCTCTTCAGATACTGCTTTATATGTGGAACTCAATCTCACAGCTTCTGTGATTAGCAGAGATTAAAAGTTGTAGTCCGAACTCGGGTCATTGGTACAGTGCTGGCAGTGCAGGATTAACATTGAAATTGTAATGAGTAAAGGTGACACCTTTAAATGCCAGTAGATCAATTTACTGAGTGTGACAGGAAATAAATAATGCAGCTGTCTGCCAGATGGACATGCAAAGAAATTCATAGAACTTGGATGTCAATATCTAATAATTTTGTATTGGATTTTTTTTGAAAAAAAAAAAAGAAAAAAAGAAAAAGACCATTAACACATTTTAAAGGAAATATATTTGGCTTAAGGAACTAAGGACTTTGGTAACAAGTAAATAGGAGCAAACAAATTGTCTGACTTTGCATATATAATGTATGGTCAATTCCAAGCCCATAAAAAATTCAGGTAAGCTTTAGCTCTCCAAGTAGCAGGGATTGGGTAGGATGGAATAGAGTGGTACAGGCATAGCACTGCTCTGCCTTCTGGGCTGTTCATGTATCATGGAAGGAAGCCAATGTACGTGTCTTGCTTCCTTCAGTCAGATGGAACTCCATAATTTCTTATTGTGACGTTCAAGGGGTAAGGGATCAAGTTGTAAGATAAGCTGATTCTGGACCCTAAATCTTGTGCCAATTTCCATTTAAAACATGTGTCCAGATGGCTGTTAGGGATGGGTGACACAACAGGTTTATTCCCTGTGAGTAATAGCCCATGGTTTTAATTCATGCAAAGCACTAAAGAGCTTTGTTCTTTTCAGAACAAGTTCATTCAGACTGGGAGCTGATAGGCTTTGAATTTTCTAGTTACTTTGCATGAAATTTGAGTCTTTACTTTGCATCATATGCCTGCACATATGGGCTTGTGCACTTCTTGCATGAAGTCTTCCTGATCTGCTGAAGTATTTTAGCTGCATAGGCATGTTAAATGGTAAGATCAACGAGTATATTCAGGGCACAAACACCACGTGAGAGTTTTTGGTCCATTTCCATCTGAGTGACAGCACCACCTCCTGGAATGTCTGTGAAGGCAGAGCAGCAAAAGTGAAGCCTGTTATTTAATACAAATTATTCAACTGGTTACTGAATAACTGCAATGCTATTGCATCTTCTCCAGAAATGGATTCTAAGTTGCTGACTGTCCTGGGTGAAAATGGAGTACCTATGGCAGAATAATTCTAGCTGCTGTGTTTCAGGCGATACTTGGTGTCCTTTTCCTGGTTGTTTGGTACTTCATGGAATGTTCCTGGTGGTGACAGACACTGCAGGCAGCCGCTAAATGAAAATAAACAG